GTGCTTTGTGACCACCTAGAGGGGTAGGATAGGGAGGGTGGGAGGGAGGGGATATGCGGATATATGTATATGTATAGCTGATTCACTTTGTTATAAAGCAGAAACTAACACACCATTGTAAACTAATTATACTCCAATAAAGATGTTCAAAAAAAAAGAAAGAAAAAAACCCCACTCAGGTAGTGGGACTTTCTAACAACCCTCAGTTCTTTCCCGAGTTCCAGGCTGTAACTGCTCCTTTGGGATCATTGTCAGAAAACAAGCCTCCCTTCTCTAGGTCAAAGGCACTGCACGTATTGTGGGGAGGGATCTCCTCTGCAAACGGAAGTGCCAGCTAAAATATACCTACGGGGTTATTGTTAGAAGTCTCAGAAAATTCTCCTACACATGATTCAGATTACAGCCGATGGGAACCTTAATATACCTCTATTATGTATGATCAAAAAACTGAATCCCTGGGGCAAAGTTTCCACGACATCAGCAGAACGATTGGAGGAGAGCTCAGGAAGAGTCCAGACTGAATCTTCCCTGATTGCCAGAAATCATTTTTTTTTTTGGTATCAACATGCAAAGGTTAGGCCAGGCTCTCAGGGGACAAACTCAACAACTCGGGGAGCATCCGTGACCAAGCCTTGTCCTTCCTGCCTCAGAGCAATCACAGCCTTGGATAAAGTAGTTGAAACGTCTTCAGATCTTGTACCAGAACCACGTTTCAATCTGAGGGTACCACATGCAGTATGATCCCTCTTGTGACCTGAAAACACCCAGTACTTTTTCTGCTTGTCAGTGAACTAATCATGGTGTCTGGCTCCTTTCTCTTTCTCATACTACCGTTGAGCAACTCTCCTACCCCTTCCTCTTGTTTTTTTTGGCCGCACCACGTGGCTTTTGGGGTCTTAGTTCGCGGACCAGCGATTGAACCCGGGCCACAGTCATGAAAGTGTCGAGTCCTAACCATTGGACCGCCAGGGAATTCCCTCTCCTACCCCTTCCTGAAGGAGAGACTCACCTCTGTGTGTCTGTACTTCAGAAGTGTTCATATCCAGAACAGATCTTTTGGATGCTCTACACCAAATCCCAACTTAATATTGTTTTGTTGATGGGACTTATCTTAAAAAATGAAGAGATCCTAAAATCCATATGGAAATTCAAGAGAAGTTCGAGAATAGCTAGATCAGTCTTGAAATATGAAAAACAAAGTAGGAGGACTCACATTTTATGATTTAAAAACACTATAAAGCTACAGTGGTGTATAGGTATGAGGACAAACAAATAGATCAACGGGACAGAACTGAGAGTCCAGAGACAAATCCATACATTTACGGCCAACTGATTTCAAGAGGACGTGAAGATAATTCTACGGGGAAAAAGAACGGATTTTCTTCAACAAATGATGCTGTGACACTTGAAGAACCACATGCAAAAGAATGAAGTTGGACCCCTGTCTCACACATATAAAATTAATTCAAAATGGATCAAAGACCTAAATGTAAGAGCTAAAAATATAAAGCTCTTAGAAGAAAACAGGTGTTATCTTTGGGAACTTAGATTAGGCAATGAACAGTTTCTTAGAAGTGACATAAAAAACACAGGCAACCAAAGGAAAAAAGAGATAAACTGAACTTTACGAAAATTAAAAACTTTCGTGATTCAAAAGACACCATCAAGAAAGTGAAAAGACAACTCACAGAATGAGAAAACAATCTTTGCAAATCTTATATCTAATAAGGGACTTGTATCTAAAACATATAAAGAATTCTTACACCTGAATAATAAAGACAAAGAACCCAATCAAAAAATGGGCAAAGGATCTGAATAGACATTTCTCCAAAGAAGATATACAAATGGACAATAAATACATGAAAAGATACTCGACATTATTAGCCATCAGGGAATTACAAATACAAACCACAATGAGATACCATTTTACACCCAGTAAGGTGACTGTAAGCAAAAAGTCAGCTAATAACAAGTGCTGGTGATGATGTGGAGAAGCTGGAGCCCTCACACACTCTGCTGGAGGGAATGGAAAATCCTGCAGCCACTTTGGAAAACAGTCTGGCAGTTCCTCGAAATTTAAACACAGGGTTACCATATGACCCAGCGATTCCACCCCTAGGTATATACCCAAGAAAATTGTAAACATACGTTCATACAGAAATTTGCTCATGAATATTCATAACAGCATTATTCATAATAGCCAAAAACTGGCAACTACCCAAATGTCCATCGATTGATGAGTGGATAAACAAAATGCAGTATAACCATACAGTGGAATGTAACTCAGCAATAAAGAGGAATGAAGCACTGACACATGCTACAACGTGGGTGAACCTTGAAAACATTACGCTAAATGAAATGTCAGTCACAGAAGGCCACACATTGCATTCCATGTACATGAAATGTCCGGAGTAGGCGAATTCATAAAAGGCAAAAGTCGATGATAGCTGCCTAGGACTGGGGGTCTTGAGGGAAAATGGGGAGTGCCTGCAAGGGGTTTCTTTGGGGAGTAATGAAAATGCTCTAAAGTGGATTGTGATTGCATAACTCTGTGATTCTACTAAAACACACTGAATTGTACACTAAATGGGTGAATTTTGTGGCACGTGATTATATCTCAAAAAAGCTGTTAGTAAGAGCAAAAAACAAAAAGAAGAGAGACAGGAGGCTTCCCTGGTGGCGCAGGGGTTTAGAATCCGCCTGCCAACGCAGGGGACACGGGTTCCAGCCCTGGTCCGGGAAGATCCCACATGCCGCGGAGCAACTAAGCCCGTGCGCCGCAACTACTGAGCCTGCGCTCTAGAGCCTGCGAGCCACAACTACTGAAGCCGGTGTGCCTAGAGCCCGTGCTCCGCACCGCAACAAAGAGTGGCCCCTGCTCGCCGCAACTAGAGAGAAACCACACACAGCAACGAAGACCCAATGCAGCCAAAAAAAAAAAAAATAGTACTTTAAAAAAAAAAAAAAAAAGGAAGAGAGATAGTACCAGGCTGGACAGGCAATAATCTTCCAGGCCGGAATCAAGCCCGGAGGGGCTGCAGTTGGCTCTAGGGCCGCACCCGTGGCTCTCTCTAGCATGTTAAATTGCTAAACATAAAAGGTAAATATGCACATGAGCGGAAGCAGTCAACCTTAGAACGCTTTGAAAACAGAGAGGTTTCCTGCCCATAACGGGAGCACAGAGGCCCACAGCAGAAGAGGTGCAAGTCAGTGGCAATGTTTCCGGATCATCATGTGAAACAGGCTGTTCTGGCCGAAGTCCTGGGGCAAGGACAGAGGGGCCCAAGGGTTCCATCACACACACACACTGTTTGGCTTCCTACTCTGTAAAGAAGCGGGGGGAGCAAGTTGTAAGAGGCATGAGGACGATGCCTGGTGAAGCCAGAGAGGCCTCCTGGGACCACCAGACCACCTCACTCAGACATTTGCTAACATCTTTCCTAAGACAACCCATCCTTGCAGGGACAAACTGGTGGTGACATTAGACAACGTTGGTGAGAAGCTTTTCCAGGGTGGCAGAGGAAATGGCCAGTTCGTGGTGTGGCTGTGACCTTCAGAATCCTGGGTAAAGCGTAAAGATGGGACATGCACTGGAACCAAGCCCTAAGGGACACTTTGAGCGCGTCCAGATGGATTTCATGGGTTATAATTACGCTCTAGTAATAGTATGTTTACTTTCTGGATGAACTGAAGCAGTCTCTTGTTGAAAAAAATAACAGCACTCATAGGAGCTAAAATATTATTAGATTTTGTGCTCCTTATTTGGGATATTCCAACTTATTTACTTAGTAACATACAGACACATTTTACTGGGAGAGTTATTCATGAATTACTCAGAAATATCACAGTCTTTATTACCCCTAATTTTTCTTAAGAAACAAAAATGAATTTTTCAGAACTTACTGTAAAGTCACCACTTACAGATTTTTTTTTATAAATTTATTTACTTTATTTATTTATTTTAGGCTGTGTTGGGTCCTCATTGCTGTGCACGGGCTTTCTCTAGTTGTGGCGTGGGGGGGGCTACTGTTCGTTACGGTGCGCGGGCTTCTCATTGCAGTGGCTTCTCTTGTTGCGGAGCATGGGCTCTAGGCACGCGGGCTTCAGTAGTTGTGGCATGTGGGCTCAGTAGTTGTGGCTCACGGGCTTAGTTACTCCATGGCATGTGGGATCTTCCCGGACCAGGGCTCGAACCCGTGTCCCCTGCATTGGCAGGAGAATTCTTAATCACTGATCCACCAGGGAAGCCCTAGAGGTCTTAAACTGAGGTTTTTCAGAGAACCCCCAAAAGCAGACAGTTCACAGAAATTGACTGTTACCCGAGATTCTCAGAACCGGCTGACGGCTACACAGAATAGAGAGCTTGTGCCTAAGACCACTGGAATAAATTCTCCTAGATGTCTGTAACCACTGATTTCCACACGCTCTTTTGCAAACCTTTGCTCTTCATTCTTCGGATCACATTTTCCCACCTTATGCATTTAAGGTTGTACACTTCTGCTTTACCCTATCATGTTTCCCTTACAAATAACTCACCTAGATCTAGGCCTTACTAGTGATAGCCACCATCCTGATTCTTTTTTTTTTTTTAAATAAATTTATTTTTTTACTTTTTGGCTGCGTTGGGTCTTTGTTGCTGCACGCAGGCTTTCTCTAGTTGCGGCGAGTGGGGGCTACTCTTTGTTGCGGTGCACGGGCTTCTCATTGCGGTGGCTTCTCTTGTTGCAGAGCATGGGCTCTAGGCGCGTGGGCTTCAATACTTGTGGCACTCGGGCTTCAGTAGTTGTGGCATGCGGGCTCAGTAGTTGTGGCTCGCTGGCTCTAGAGCACAGGTTCAGTAGTTGTGGCACACCGGTTTAGTTGCCCCGGCATGTGGGATCTTCCCGGACCAGGGCTCGAACCCATGTCCCCTTCATTAGCAGGTGGATTCTTAACCACTGAGCCACCAGGGAAGCCCCTACCATCCTGACTCTTTAAATCGGTTCTCCCAAGCTATCGCTAGGGAAGCCAACATTTTAAAATGTTATAAAGTATGTTACACGGACATAATCATGATCCTCTTTGTAGGCGGTACATAAAAAAGGAAAATGCCCTCCCATCAGGAGAGACCAGTTCAGCTGCCTTGCAATGTATCTGACTGTTCGTCACAACACCACCCACAGACAATACATCTACAGCTCCACTGAGGTTGACCCCGTGTCTCACATGGACATCTGATTCATGGGTGCCACCCCAGGACCTCAGCTAACTGCCCTGTGGGCCTCTGAGACTGTAACAAGTGAACGACTCCCCAGGACCCTCAGTGAACGATGCCTCCTTGCAAAGCATCTAACGGTAGAACACCTTCTGAGGGACATAATAATACCTGGTGAAGCAGACGGTGGAGGCTCTTGGCCCCAACCAGAGGGACTGGACAGCTTTAGTGGTCATCAAAAATGTGTCCCTCACTTAGGGTGATACAGCGAATAATACAGCCTAGGGCGTGGCGCGGGGGGCAGGACAAAACACTCTGACTGCCTAGTGCAAGTAGTTATAGATAATAGCACGACCTTGGATCTTCTGGGCAACCAGGGGAGTTTGTGGCCCTGCTGACGCTTCATTCTGAACCTGGATTTACAGTACAGGTGAGGTGGAACAGTCTACTCCAAGGCTACATGAGAGAGCAACCTGCATACTGTGGACTTAGGGAGCAGGTGGGACCGGTTCTCCTGGTCAGCCCTGGGAACCCTTAAATCATGGTTCTCGAGGGCCTTGCTTCCAGCACCTTCTGGTAATACCCGCAGTCACACTTGTCTGTCTCATCCTTCCACATCTACCATGGTTCTCGAGGGCCTTGCTTCCAGCACCTTCTGGTAATACCCGCAGTCACACTTGTCTGTCTCATCCTTCCACATCTACCGTCTAGAATAACAACTGCTTTCGCGTGTAGTCCCAGCAAATGGCTCAGAGACAAAAACGGGATGAAACCTCCCCGACTGACTGTGACCTGACAATCTGGTCTCCACCGATGACCCTTCACAGAGGCTGGTTTGGTGGCAGTGGTGAAGATCTGGACAGGCCCTGGTGGCCTCTCCTGCAGCTCTGACTGAGGAGGGACGACCAAAAAGGGGACTGAGAATTAACAAACAAACAAAGAAACATGTCCTCATATCCCTAGAGAAAGCCTGTACCCGATAGCTCTGGCCAGCAGTAAATACCAGACCTCATGTGACCCTAACAATCAGTGGACACACCTCGGAAAGCCAACTGAAGGGTGTGGGCGTGGAAAGCAGCCAGCTCTGGGCCAGTTCACTCAGCGATCAGGCTTCTGAGGCTGGTGTGAGCCCAGTCTCCCACAGCGCCCCGCAAAGACATGCTGCTGGGACTGATATCACCCGCCTTTAACCGGCACAACTCCGCACGAGCTCTCCCCCCAAACTCTAGGCAAAGCCAGCGGTTTGCTTTGCTCAACCAGACTGCCGGAGCAGCATAGCAATTCTTACTTAAGTAAGCAATAAATTCAGCTGTCTGACCTCGGGTTACTAAGTGATGGTATCCATTCTCTGATACTTTCATTCATTCATTCAACAAATCCTTCACTGAGTGTCTATGGTTGCCGGGCCTGTTCTAGGTGCCGGGGATACAGCAGTGTTTATGGAACCAGTGAATGTGGACTGTCCAGCACTCAGCCGAGAGGTGCCCCAAGGCCCCAGAGCTCAGCAGCAGAGGGCGCATGAGCCCTGAGCTCTCTAGGAGGCCCGCCCCTTGCCAGGCCAGTGGCGGGTGTACAAAGACCCAGGCGCTCCCCAGTCCAGGCTCTGCTGCTGCTGCACCCCGTGTAGCCACCCCTCCCCTCCCACCAGCTTCCTTGGCAGGACAAGGGGAGCTGGGGCTGCTGAGGCCTCCGCGCTCTGCTGCTTCTAAGTGTCAGCTCCTCCTGAGTCCACAGCTCTGGCCGCACACGCTGACCCCCAGGTCTCCACCTCCGTGCTCCCCGTGCCCCCGCCCCAAGCCGTTTCTGCGCCTCCAAGCGTGCTCTCCCCGCTGCATCCCCTCTTCTTCTGTCAGCCCTCATTCCCATCAGCCGTATCCCACCAGCAGAGAGCACCTGCCCAAGAGCCCCAGCCATCCAGGCACCAGCGGAGGAGCTGGCACCCAGGCCCTTCTCAGGGGTGCTCGCGATGTCTCGCCCCAGGGCACTCACCCACGCAGTCCTTCCGGTTCCAGTGGAGGCGCCTCCCTGGGGGGCAGACGCATTCGTAGCTGCCCTTGGTGTTGACGCAGCCCTGGTCGCAGCTCCCGTTGTTCATGCTGCACTCGTCCACATCTGGAAGCACAGGTAGGCGTAAGGGCAGGAGGGGGGGCTGGACGGTCCAGCCGAGGCCACACCCTTGGGGCTGGCAGGGCAGGACCCACCCAGGACAGGAGGGCCGAGAATCCCCTGACCCTGACCCCAGCCTGATATTGTCACTGGATGCAGACATGTGGTTGCACACGACACACACACAAGCTTGCACACACACAGGGTTCCCGCAGACACCAACACACATCCCCCCCCTCCAGGAACCTCAGTGGTTTGCTGAACTTGGGCAGCTGAGCCCAGACTTGGGGGAGGGCAGAGAAATGGCACAAAATAAAGTTGCAGTCAGGTCTTGTGGGGCCGGAATGACCAGCACCGGCCCCGGGGTCCTGAGGCCGTATCTCACTGTGGGACTTCGGATGTGCCCTTCCCAGCCAGTTTCCCTCCTGCACAACAGGCACCTGGGTGCAGGAAGTCTCCCCTGAGGCCCCGCCTTCTTTTGGGCCAAAGACCTGTGTACAGAAGCTGGTGCCCAGGTTTTTGGGAGTCCCTCCAGAAGAATCTGCAGCTCACCCCACGAGCCACGCTCCTAGCACCAGCTGTGCCTGAGCCCACCTAAACTTCACAGCTGCCCAGCAGAGAAATTGTGGCTACCACCAGGTCAAAGGAAAGGGAGAGACACCAGGGACCTCAGGGCCATTCTTGACACCCCCGCCAGCTTCACCCCCCAAGCCTGTACATCCCCATGTCCCATCATCCGTGGCACCTAAAGGCATCTAGAACCTTCCCTCTCTCCCCATCCCTCCCCACCCTGACCAGGCTCCAGTAGCTCTCACTCCCATGCCTGGAGCCGTGTCCCCACTGGTGCCCTGGGTTCCACCCTCCTAAAAACGTGGCAGCTGGAGGGATCTCGTTACGTGAACTTGAGCCCGTCACATCCCTGCATAAACCCTCCAATGGCTTCTCATTGCACTGGGAATAAAGCCACAAGTCCCCTGGGGCTCACAAAGCCCTGTGTCCCCTCTGTCTGCACCTCCCACCGTGTGCCCCTTCCCTCATGGGACTCTAGCCCCACTGGCTGCCTCTCAGTCCCTCTGTGCTCCCTCTGCCTCAGTGCTTTTGCACACGCTGACCCCTCTGGCATGCTTCCCCCACCGTGACCCAAACACTCCTCTTTTAGGATCCCCCCATTGTCCCCACCCTCTGCCCTTCTCTGTTGTTACCCCCTCCACTGGAATGAACTGTTGGTGGGATCCTCTGTGCAGCCATCCTCCCTTCCGGACTGGGGTTCCCCAGAAACTGCTGTTTCCAGGCCCGTGTCCACAGCCTGGCTGAGGCCTGGCACCCAGTGGATGCTTGCTGCCCATCCCCCCACCCTCCTGCCTTACCCTTGGCTGAGCCCCTCTGCCCACCAGTCCCTCCCAGGCCCATCAGAGTCAAGGTCAAGGTCGGGGTGTGGGGTGCAGTGCAGGTGGCCGTGCGGCCGGGCGCGTGCCTCTGGGGGGAGGTGGCCCTGGCGGGCGAGCTGCAGACCTCCGCAGTGGGTTGTCCCATAGAGCGTGTAGCCGCGGCGGCACAGGCACTGGAAACTGCCCGGGGAGTTGACGCAGATGTGGTCACAGGTCCGCTCGAAGGAGCACTCGTCGATGTCTGTGTGGTCACAGGGAGACAAAATTTGGGAGGAGGTTCAGGGTGTGGTGGATGGCACGGCCTGCCCCTCGCTCAGTCACTCAACAGACCTCTGTGCCCGACAGCCCTGGGGCCCCAGGCTCAGCGCACAGCCGACGCACAGCAAACGTCAGACTTCGTGTCGCTGCCCAATTTTCCATTCCGTCTCCGTTAGCCTCATGTGTCTGGGTGAGAAGCTGCCTCACATCTTTTCTGGAGGTGGGCAGGGTAGAAATATTTTGAGTAGAAGGGATTATTACGAATCCCTGCCATTTTGATATCTCCCATTCCAGTGTGATTAGGGTAGGTATTTAATCCACACCTGCAGGAAACTAACGGGCTTGCCTGAGGAAGGGGCTGAACTGGGACATGAAAACAGACCACTTGAATGCCAACCAAAGTGTGTTCCCCCATCACCCCAAGATGTCTCTGGAGAAAATGGGGAAAACAGCACAGACAGAAAGGGGGATGGGGGTAGGGATGATGCTACCCATGAGGAATAACAAAGTAGCCTTGATAGTATGTGACATTTGATTCTGACCACCCTGGCAGCCAGGGTAAAAAGGGAACGAGGGAGGGCCACAGAGTGCTTGTTGCTGGAAAGGAGGAAATGAACTACGTGTTTGCAGGAGACAGATTTATCCTGGCCGTGAGTTCTGAGCAGGGTGGCCCCCATGGGACAGTTGATGGGGGTCCCGAGGGCAAGGCAGACACTGACCTGCCTCTCCATGGGCACTGCAGCTGGAATTTATTCTTTGAATACATTTGCTCACATGACTACAGACGCACTCATAACATATATGTTTGTAATAACACTAGCACGAGGAAGGAATCACTGTGGATGCTCAAAGGAAGATGTAATTCCTCCTGGGGGTGGATCTGGGAAGGTCTCTTGGTGCTGTGGCACCTGGGCTAGACCCTGAAGGATGGGGCTAGCCTGGAATGAAGGAATGAGAGTGGGGGAAGGGCACCCTGGGCAAAGGCTGGGAGGTGACAGCACTGGATCCTCAGGGATTGTGTGGAGCTCAGGGGGGCTGGGGAGGTGTCTGGGGTCCCCATCCCAGGGGCCCTGAGTGCCTGCTGGAGCTGGGGACCCAGGGGCCGTGCTGGAGCAGGGGTGGGCCGGAGTCCCAGGGCCTTGCAGAGCTGAGTCAGGAAGAGGGGGGAGGAGACTCAGCCAGAGCCCGGAGCAGTCCCGCCATCGCCTCCTCCGCGGCCGCTGCTGCCCGCCCCTCTTCCAGGGCAGCTGGAGATGCAAAGCCAAGGGCCCTCCCTCAGCCCTCCACAGAACGCGGCAAGGCAGACGGAGAGACAAAGTCAAAGTGCAGAGGAGCCTTGATTGGAACCTGGACGGGTGTTGTGCTCCCAGAGGGCCCCTGTGCCCTGAGAGGAAGACAGGGCCAGGTCGCCCGAGCAGCGAGGCGGAGGCCGAGCCCAGGGAGGGGAAGCGATGGGCTCAGGTCACGTGCTGAGCCCCGGGACAGGCTGGCCCTGGACCCTCCCTTACCAGCCTCTGCTCTCGCCTTCCTCAGGGCCCTCAGGGCCTCGTGCTGCCCCAGGCCGGCCTCTGAGCGCCGTTATGAGGCACATGCTGCAACCGCAAGCCAGATGCGGCCGGTGCAGCCTGTGGCTCCTGCGACCTCGTGGAGACGAAACGACGGACAGCAACAGGGTAACAGCGAGGGAACTGAGCCGGCCCCCCACCCCCCGGCCCCACCCTCTGCGCGTATCCCTGAAGCCAGCTCCTTCTCAGTGGCCTCATCTAGCTCCACGGGGCTCCTTCTGGTTCCTCACAGCCCCTCAGCCCAACAGCGCCACTTCCTGGTTGGGTTTGCCTCCCTGGCTCCTCCTGGAAGATGCCTATTCATCGTTCAAGCGCTTCCCCAGTGTCCCCTCCCCTAAAGCCTTCCCTGACCCGTCTCTCCGCTGCCCATCCTCTGGGCTCTCACTGCATCCAGGATGTCTGCGGGACTTGTCCCGGGCTATGATGCTTGGCTTCTGCCCAGGTCTCTCTTCCCATTACCCCTGCTCCTGGCAGGTGCCCAGGGACCCTGAGGAAGGGCTGCTGGAGCACGCCTGCCACTTGCTACAGCTTCCACCAGGTGGCAGCATCCACCTGGCCTCTGAAGCCACTGCCGGTGGCCTGCGAGGCCCCCTCTGGAGGGAGGAGCCGGCGCCACCTGGGACACGGGCCGACCCCTCCCTGGGCCTCAGGTCCCCTCTATATCAGGGAGAGGTGGGGCTGGATGGCTTCTCAGGGCCCCTAGAATCATAAAGGACGGGAAGACAGGAGGGCAAGCGCACAGGCTAGGGACACAAAAACTACTCCCGGCCCCTCAGGCCCGGCCCGGCCGGCGGACAAGCCCACCCCAGGCTCTCCTACCCTGCTGGGAGCCTGTGTGGCCTGAGAGGGGCGGGACCCCACGAGGACCAGGGCGGCTCACCTTGGCACGTCCGCTCGTCCGTCAGCAGCTTGTACCCCTTCCGGCAGCCACACTCGAGGCTGCCCACGGTGTTGCGGCAGGAGTGGTCGCAGCCTCCGTTGTTGGCCAGGCACTCGTTGATGTCTGCGGAGCCGGGCGGCAGGACGAGGCGGAGAGAGTGGGCTGGGCTGCGCTGCCCGCGCCGCCTCGGTCCCCCGGCCGAGCCCAGGAAGGGGGGCTGGCTCACAGCCGTGGGGGTGGGAGGACGGGGGACACCGCTGCCCCCAGGACTTGGCGAGCCTGGCGTTTGTGCACCGAAGGGAGGGGAACTGGTGTCTGCGGTGCCGGGCCAAACAACAGGGACCGGGACGCTCCCACGCCCTTTCATCCCCGGGGAAGTGCCAGGGAGGCGGGGAGGTGCCAGGGAAGCAGGGAGGCCGGGAGCAGGGGGCTGCTTCCCGGAGGCTGTGACTCTGGGCTGGGCGAGCTACTGGACCCCTGGGGCCTCGGCTCCCTGTCTGTTAAAATAAGGATCAGAGGCGCCCCTACTTGGAAGGACATCACGAGGATGAAATGAAATAACATCCCTAAGGCGCCGGTGCTCAGCCAGGGCCCAAACAACTCTTTACAAAGTAGGTTTATTGCTCCTGCTTTACTGACGGGGAGACCGAGGCCGGGAAGGTAACTGGCTCCAGGTGCCGCGGCTGGTGGCGGGAACGGGCGCTCCTGGGCCGCCTCCCTTCCCAGCCTGGCTCCTGCCGCTCCCCCCTCCCCATGCCTGCAGGTGAGTTTGAGCTGTTTCTTCACTGGGCATGTCACGAGTTGCAGTTGCACCCTGAAGGCCCCCCAGCATGATGCCCCCAAGCATCCCTGCCGGTGGGCCTCGGCTTGCACACCTCTAGTGATGGGAGCTTCTTCCCTCAGGAGCTCCCCCCCACCCCCATGAGCTCCCTCCCACCCTCCTTGCCCTGCTCCCCTGGGCTTGTTCCCTGGGCTCCCGGTCCATCTGGCAGACTGAGCTGTCAGAGACCCTGTCCCTGAGGTACCTTTTCTCACTCCGAAGTTCCTCTTGGGCTCCGGCTCCCGGGCCCCCCATGCTGGTCACCCCCCGCCGGCCCCCCAGACCTAGCCAAGCAATTGGAAACAGAAGTAGGAGATGACGTCCAGGAAGGTGTCCCCACCCTGATTGGAGGAGGGCACAAAAGGAAGCGGTGAAAGAGGCATCCCCCCGCCCCCGGCAGAGAGAGGACTTTCTGTGCTGGTCACTGGCCACATCTTAACAGAGCTGCTGACTCAGGCTCCAGCACCCGCTGAGCCTGGCCTGAGTGTGAGGCCCGGACACCCCTGTCCCGTGTAACTGGCACCGCCAGTTGTCAAGGTCAATCTGTCCCCATTTCCCAGAGCCCCGCTGAGGAGACTTGGTCCTATTCCAAAGACTCCGGTCTCAGGCGCAGCTTGTCACCACGCTGCTCCCAGCTCTTTTCCTCAGATCGAACAGGCTGGACTTGACACCTGCTGAAAAGTCCTATGGCAGCACCCCCACAGAATGCCCTTCACCCCAGAACAAACCCCCAAATGCCAGGAGAACGGCGGGGGCGTTACAGAGAGCAGGGCTGAGACCCCTGGGTGGGCAACTCTCGGAGCCTTTGCGAGGGGAACGGGCACAGTGAGTCGGGCAGGGGCAGACCCAGAGCTGCTTTCCTGTGGAGGCCCGGGTGGGGCTGGGCTCTGGGGAACACAGGACACTCAGGGGGTGTGCCTGCCACCTCCTTGCCCTCGGCCAGCCTCCCCGAGGTACCTCTGCCCCAAGGACCCATTCTGTTTGCGTATGCTGGTGATTTTGGTGCCAGGAAGATGGGAAGGGCGGGGAATCTGAGGCGGGGAGGCTGCTAGGGTGTGTGTGACCCTGGCTCCGCCTCTCACGGGCTGGGCCTACACCTCTCTGCACACAGGAGGTGCTCTACGTGTGCACCAAAATGAGGGCTAAAAGCAGAGGCCGCTCAGCACTGCGAACTCTGCATGCGCCCCGAAGCCTGTGGTTCAGGAACAAAGCGGCCTCAGGGTGAGCCCACGCCCCAGAGGAAGTAGTAGGACCCTCTGGGGGTCACGGCACCTGCTGGGCGGGCATCACCTCGTGCTGGCGGCCAGGCCAAGCACTTTCTGGCAAGGTCTCGTGTGATGGTCAAAACAACCCGAGGCCAGATCTCCCACTTTCCAGGGGAGGTCACAGCTCCACGCAGGAGGCCGACTTGAGCCCAGCCCCAGGCGTCTCCAAAGACGGCCCCGCCAGTGCAGCACGCTGGCCCTGTGGCCTTCAGAGGAAGCAGACCTCAAGGGCAGCAAGGGCCTGTCCAGGACAGAGGCTGGGGCTCTCCGTCGCCCCCTCCCCTGGGGGTTACAGGAAGCCAGGGGAGATTCTGGCTAAAAGCCTCTGACAGGAGAACAGAGGACCCTCTCAGCTCCGTGACCCTGGGCAGGGCAAGGCACCTCTCTGAGCCTCAGGCTCCCCATCTGCAAACTGGGCCGCTAGCAGGTGCCTCTCCAGCATCATTCACTACGACTGAATGCGCAGATGGGGCTCGCCTCCTTGGGAATGTCTCAGGCCTTCTGGAACCCCCTAATCCCATCCCCTACCCCATCTGGGCCTGGCGGCTCAGGGGCTGTCATAGCAGCTAGACAGGAGGTGCGAGGCGCTGTTCGCTTGAGGCCCAGGCTGGTGTAGCGGGCTGCCTGGGGGTCAGAGTGGGGGAGACCCCGTCCCAGGCTCTAGCCTCAGCTGTAGTGAGGGGGCAGTGGGCTCGCACGGCCCCTCGGCCTTCATTCTGATGAGCCCCTGCCCCCTTTCCACCTCCCACCCCTCCAAGACCCCCCTCCTTCTCTACTGTGCTCCCACCGGGCCCCACCAGCGGCCAGCAGTCCCCTACCTGGTTACAGAGGCTCACGGTCTCCCCTCCGCAGCCTGGCCCAGCCCGGCGGCCCCGCCCTCCTCTTCTCTGCATGATTGGATCCTGTCTCGGCAGCCCCTCACCCCACCCTGCCTGGGGAACAAGCACCCCCTGGAAAGCCTTCCCTGACGTTCTCTCCAGAGTTAGCTGCTCCCTTGTCATGGGGCCTGCCCTCAGCAGGATGACAGACGGGACACCTGGCTCCCACCTGGAGCCCCAGGGCCCAGCATGAGGCCTGCACAGGAGGATGGGGCACTGAACGAATGGATGAATGAATGAGTGAATAAGCGAGTCGGGGGGCTGAGAGGTTAGTGGAACATTCGATGTGTCACCCAATGTTTGAACATCAGTGCGTGTTGGGGAGAAAGATGCGGGGTGAGCTACGGGAACACGCAGTAGGTTGGTTGCTCCTGTCCCCCTCTGCCCACCCCACTGAGGGGGCACAGCCTGGCAACGCAGGGGCCACGTGGATGAGGGTTTTGGGTGGGAGCAGAGGGCGGGCCTGTGGGAGTGGGCTGGCATCACTCTGGAGCAGCCTAGGGGGAGGGCAAGCTGCTGGGCTGGGCTGGCTGGGCACAGGGCAGGTGAGGGAAGAGGGCCAACAGGCGGGGCTGGGGGCGGTCCTCCCAGACTGTTCTGGCAGGTGCTGGGAGGAGGGGCTGGTGTCCCTGAGGAAATCCAGGCTCTGGCTCAGGAAGTTGAGGCCCCAGACCTCTGTCCTCTCAGAAGGGCCAATTAGCAAGGTGCCCACTTCCCAATATCAAGCAGGACAGCGCCAACCAGGGAGCCCTGAGACTGGGCTGTCCACACTCTTGAGACAAAGCAAGGGCACGGGGCAAATCCTGCACAGCCCCCCATGGCCCTGATGTTTTGGGGCAGGCCTCCACCTGCCCACGTGATCCCCGGCCATCCTGGGTTTTCAGCTCTGGATTTTCCCAGACCTCCAGCCGTTGGTCTTGCTTAGCAATGACCTTCTGGCTTCCAGAAAACACTGAACCTTCGATATCCTCCTCTGGGCCCTGCCAAGACCAGGGCGTGCATGCTGACTGAGGAGCCAGACCCCAGGGCCAGGGCCTCGGTTTGCCGGGGATCCCCAGCTGGCTTGCCCCCCACCCCGAGTCCCCACACCCTGCCCTGCGCCCCTCCAGCCAGGCCCCGGGAAACTCAGACAGTAAGCCCAAGGTTCTAAGACACCAAACCCTGGGGTCTCGAGGTCAACATTTGGTTTCCAGGGTTCCCTGATTTGAAGACGCTATGATGTTCCTACTATGTGGTTCTGGACCAGTCCCATGATCCTCAAATTCTAATATGTATAACAACATTCAGACAGCTCTTCTCCACCTCTGCTGCCACCCCGGGCCCAAACCATTGTCACCTCGAGCCTGTTCTTCCCGACCCTGCCTAGAAACCCATCCCAACAGTGGCAGGGACTGTCTCCAAACGAAAGCCTGGCCTGTGCCCCCTTGCCCAAGAGTGTCTGGGGCCTGGCCGAGGCTCACAGGATGAAGGGCCAACCCCTTCTCCTGGACCTCCCCTGGACCTTCCCCAGATCTGGGCACACTGGCTGCTTTGGGTCCTGGAACCCCAGGCCTCTGCACAGCAGTCATGTTGCCTGGATTAGAGCCACTTCCTCCATCCTCCCCGCTCTCCCTACCCCCTGCCCAGACTTTAATTTTTAAAGTCTGTCTTCTTTACTCAATAGAAGATCCCTGGACACAAGGAATTTCTGTTTCATTCCCTGGTGTCCCCTGCACTCGCACACAGGAGGAGCCCAGAAAACCCATCTGGTGCATGCGTGAGGACTTCCTGGTCCTGGTGAGGACTTCCTGACTCCAGGGCAGTGGGACTGAGGAGAGTTGGCTAAAGGCAAATGAACAGCTCTGGGTAAAGGGTCCAGTTGTTTCAACACAGGAAACATGGTCAGAAGCTCAGACTGGCGGGCCTGGGGCTGTGTGGACAGCTCCCTTCAACATCTCCCCCTACCCCAGACTCAAGGTGGGGTGAGGATGGATGCCCCTCTCGCCAGCAAGGATGGGCAGGGGGCAGCAGTCAGCGTCCCCTTAGGTGCTCCTTGTGGGCGATGTGACTGCCGAGGCCCCTATCCAGCCCAGACAGGTCAGCTCCCAGCGGCGGGCTCCTGGCCTCAAGTCTGGAATTAAGCCCTGCCCTACCCCTCTGGTCCTACGTCAGCGCTGTGCCTTGGACGGGGTGTGGGTGGCCCGATTCTACCTTCTTCTGTCCTGGCTCCAAGGGCAACTGGCTGGACCTGCTGTGACACTGCTGGGCTATGAGGACGGCTGGGTCTGTGGTGGACCCTGGCCAGCCCTCCTGGCATTAAGCCCACGTGGCAAGGCCTCAGAGAGCCCCCGCCCACCCGGAACACACCTCGCTCTAAGTGGGCTGAGCGGAGGCTACAGAAGGACTTTATTTTCAGATAAACAGGTGGAAGAACGGTTATTTCCGTCAATAATCACTAGGTTCTTCCCAGCAGAGCGGCTGGGGAGGAGAAGTCACATGCTGTCTATTTTTACAGGCTTCAGAAGCCCATCTCAGACTATTTAAAATCACCGGAGCCTCTGCTGTCAATCTTCTCACCCACTGGGCTTTGGAAGTTCTAGTTCCTTTGCCTTTCCATGCTGGCCTCCGGGCCTGCCCGCTTCCCGGCAGAGTGATGGGAGGAGGGCAGCCAGCCTGGGCAGGGATCTGAGGGCTGGTCTGGGGAGTGCTGAGGGGCTGCACCTCACTCCTCACAAGGGCTGCCTCCCGGCCCAAGGCCTGCAGGTCTGGGGGTTCCATAACACCCCAGGTCTTTGTCTGGGCTGGTGCCCTCGTGCTGTAGGGCTGGCCCCTTCAGTCCTAGGGCTCAGACAGCTCTGGTTTCCCAGCCCCTTTGCTTCCTGTTTCCTGAGGGGTCCCCAACACGGCTGAGCCCCCGCGGGCCCTCAGGAACCTCGGAGTGAGCCAGGGACAGTGGGCAGAGAAAGCTCACCCTTCTCTGGCTTCCAGCAGCCGGCAGACCGGCCCATTCCTGACCTTCCCAATCCCTATTTCTAATTTTGCATCTTTAGTCCTCCGGTTGAGATCCCCCCGCACACCTTCCCTCTTCCAGTGACGAGGACACACAGTGTCCTCAGTTTTCTAACGCCGACAAGAAGCCCATCCTGGCCTGGTCTGAGCCCTGTGCCCTGCTGCCCCCAGCTCTGCAGAATGCACCCCGGCCAAGGTGAGTGAGCACAGGAACCGGCCTGGCCCTGCCCCCTGGGAGGCCACAAGGAACCTCTGCCGGCCCAGGAAGCCCAAAGAAAAGGTACCGCGTTTGTTCAACCCAGGGTGAAGCCCCATTCTTCGATATCAGAGCCCCGCTTGAACCTGTCAATATACAGTGGAACCGGGTTCCCTTGAGCCTTGCTGGGGAGCGCTGGCGCTGACTCTTCCTCTTCTTAGCTTCTCCAACAGAAATGCACGTGGCAGCTGACCACCCTCGCCCCTGAAGCCATGTGTGGTCGCACACCCGGCCCAAGTGTGCCGCCCCGCTCCTGCCCTGCCTGTACCACCCGGGGCCCGGCGAGGGAGGTGGCGCGCACTGACCTTTGCACGTCTTCCCATCCGGCTGCAGTGTGAATCCAACCGGGCAGCTGCATCGCACGCCGGTGGCCGTGTCCTTGCATGTCCGGTCACAGCCTCCGTTATTTACTGCACACGTCTCTGAGGAGGGAAAGAGAAAAAGACACTCTCAGTCTCCTTGGACAGAAGCCACCACCTTTCCCCACCCGTGGGGGGAATCTCCTGAGACAGGAGACCTGAGCTCAAATTCTGGCTCTGGGGACTTCCCTGGCGGTCCAGTGGTTAGGACTCCGTGCTTCCAATGCAAGGGATGCGGATTCGATCCCTGGTTGGTGAACTAAGATCCCACGTACCGCGTCGTGTGGCCAAAAATAAATAAATAATTGAATGTTTCCAATGCAAATTCTGACTCTGATACACTCTAGCTGTGGGGCCTCTCTGAACCTCAGGCTCCCCATCTGTAAATTGGGAGAATGACACTGTTTCCCCTCTGATGATGATGGATGGGAAAACTGCTTGCAAACTGCAGGGAGCGGTGCCAACAGGGTCAACACCACCACCAGGGCCAGTGCCGAGATCGGCTGGACTGGTATTTAACCGCCCAGGGACAGATTCCTAAACCCTTGCCTTGCCTGGACTTGGACTCCAAACCCAGACTGGCAGTTACTGGGGCTCCCAAACTCGTCTCGGCGCGGAATGGCTTGTGGCCCTGGCCATGGAGTCGCAAGGGGAGGTTCCCAGAGCCCGCACACCATCCATCACCTTGATGAGGCTCTCAGCCCAACATCTGTTCTCGCTGAACGATAAGCCAAAGGCGTCTGTTTTTTGTCCACTTGAAGCTAGTCTAGTGCTTTTTTTTTCCTCTTGCAAATTCAAAGGGCTGGAGTGGCTGGGGCATAACTAAGGTCACTGAGCTCGTCGTGCGGTGAGAATGATCCTCCCCAGGCCCGGAGAAGGGGCTGGCACAGCCGGGTCACCGGGGCACGTGGAGAAGCCTAGTTCCCGGGCCTCTGAGCCTTTCAACCTGGGTTTCTTCCTGAGCATCTGGCGTGCTTTGGTGTTGTGGGAACTTCCCTCTCCCCTTTGCTGCTAGGAAGGGAAGTGCCAAGGGCCCCCACCTCTTATAACCTGAAATCCCCTGCCTGTCTACCGTGGCTGCCTCTGGCTGCCTGGCCCCAGCGGGTCTCTCCCCAGAACTTTCCCCCTACCCCATTTATTCTGTCTGTCCTTCTGTGGTGTCTGCATTCCTGCAAGGTGCATTCCGTTTTCTCCGGGAGGAGTTTGGGGATGAACATAGGAGTGATGACTAAATGAATACATACCCCCAGTTGCCAGGAGTCTCTGCTGCTAATGTCTTTCCTTTGAACTTCAACTTGTAGGGGGTGGACGGAGCAGGGAGAGGAGGAAACTGGGCTTTCCCTCTGTGTGTGTGTGTGTGTGTGTGTGTGTGTGTGTGCGTGTGTGTGTGATTCTGTGGGGTGACCACGATGGCGGTTGTCCTTAACATCCTGAACTTGGGGGCTGCCTGCTTCCTGGGGCCGCTGCCCATTTTCTCGAGGCTGAAGTCTTCACTGCGGTAGGACAGTGTCCTTGCCCCTGCCTCTTCCCAGGCTTTCGGCGTGTCTCCCCATACTCTAGCCCTCCAGCTTCTGTCTGCCTGCTGTGGGGCATGTTGCCCAGTGGCTGGGAGGCCTCCTGCCTGCTCATGGGTCAAGGTCAGCGCAGAGACCTCCACGAGCAGCCTCCAGACGCAGAAAGGAGGCCCCCGCCCTCCGTGTGCGCATGCGGGCTGGCCTCCACGTGCGCATGGGCCAAGCTCTGACCCACACACGCCTGCGCAGGCCCTCTTGCCGCCCCCGCCGCCCGTCTACTGGGGCAGTGGAGGTGGGGAGGCCAGGGTGTGACTTTGGCTCTGTCGCTCACTGAGTGACCCAGCGAGTCCGCCCCTCGGGGCTCGACCTCAGCACCTACACCTGGCAGGTGAGGACCGCAAGCCTTCCCTCCCAGGGCTGAGGGGAGGATCAAAGACACCCCACACTCAACAGCGTCTGGCCCAGGGCCCCGCCTGGAGTAGCTGCTCAACAATGTTAGCTTCCTCCCCTGAGGTTACAACCAGAGAGGGAAATCCCGCCTCCGGCCCTCAACTCCAGAGCCACAGTACCCCCATGCGCCTTTCCAGCCTTTTACGTGGGAGAGCCCCTCTCTGGAGAGGGGGCAGAGAACCTGCCTGTTTTCCAGGTGCAGGTAGTTAAGGCTCAGGCCTTGGAGAGGCAGGGGGAAGGCCCGAGAGCAGGGGGCGGGTAGCAGAAGGTGCCGAGAGCTTGGGCTAGGGCACAGCTGGGTGGCCTTACTTGGCGACAGCGGGATGACCACTGGGTCTCTCCATGGTGGTGGAGGTGGGACGTGGCGTGGGCACCGGGGACTGTGTCCCTGAAAAATGGACCCGGCCAACCAGGCTCCAGGGGGCTTGCAGGCCCTTCCTGTCTCTGGAGGCCCTGATGGGACTCGGAATCTTGGGCCTCCCGAGCGACCGGGGCCCCGGAGACCTGCTGGCCGCACCTGCCCTCTCGATAGGAGGAGGCCGAGCTGGGGCCGGGGTCAAGCCTGGATGGTCACCCGCTCTCTGCGCCCTCAGGGCAGGTCTCTCCCTTGTAGCAAGCACCCTTTCAGTCTCCTGTGTTACCCTAGACAATGTTTGGTACAAGAGCTCTTTGGGCTCCCCTGGGTGCTGGCCAGCCCATCCCACAGGCGTTGCTGCACTAGGCTCCCCCATGCTACAGCAGCTCTGTGGACGGCCCCTCACCTCCCAGGTGCAGAACTGGTGCCGAACACTGGGAATCGGCGCAGAGCAGCGTGGCTGGTAAGGGGCAGGGCTGGTGGGACCCGGTGGGTGTACTCCAACCCACCAGCAGGCTCAGATCTCCATCCAAGCCAGCCCCAGCCAGCCCCAGCCGGGGCCCGCACAGCCAAGCGCGTACCCGGCTCTCCAGCTCCCGCCCAGTGCACCCCGTCTCCACGAATGCTACTCCATCTGCCCCAAGGATGCTTCCTAGGAGGCGCCCTTTGCAGGTGGAGAAACTGAGGCTCAGAGGAGTAAAGGACCTTTTCTAGGCAGGATTAGCTACACGATTTGTGGGACCCAGTGTGAAATAAAAGTGAAAGGCCCTTGTTCAAAAATTGTTAAGAACTTTCCGACAGATAGCCGAGCACTCAGCCAACTGTGGGCCCTTCTAAGGGCAGGGCCCCGGGTGAGCGCACAGGTCACACAGCCACTGGGAGAAGCCAGTACTGGAACCCAAGACTGCGAGGCTCCAGGCTGTTGAGTGAGCCAGGCCTCCGGGGGGGATCCTCGGGGGCGGGCCTGCAGTGGGGCAGCAGAGCCAGTGGCCTGAGGGGGCAGCGAGGTGCGCCCACGGGCCTCCTCACCCAGCGAGAGGGGAGAACTCTCACCCACAAGGCTGGGCTGGCGAAGGGGGGAAGGCGGGGCATGGCGTCGGGGGACTGAAGTGGGGAGGGGCTTGGGAGTGAGCCCCTCTTCAGCAGATGGGAAAACCCCAGATGTGTTAAAAGGCCAATCTTTAGTGTTTCCCTGGGGGAATTCCACTTTGGGCCACGCCGGGCGGGGTCGGGGGGGAGGGGAGCGGTGGCAGGGGCAGCCACTCAGCAGGACCTGCCGTGCAGCCCGGCCGGGGCTCGGACGGCAGCAGGACGCCCCTTGAGTTGGCGCTGGGTGCTTGCACCACCCTAGGTCTGGGGCGAGGTCCGGCCTGAAGGACAGTCTCAGTCACAGTGTCGTGGCTGACGCAGGAGCCACAGGGGCAGGAAACACTGCTCGGAATGCTGCCCCGCAGGCTCGGGCAAGTCCCTTCACGTCTCAGAGCCTGAGCTTCTGGCCGCGTGTCGTGGAGATGTAACAACTGCCACCTGGTCCTCGCGAGGCCCAGGCAAGGTGTGCGCGTGACGGTGCTCGGTTGCGAGGCCCAGACAAGGTGCGCGCGTGACGCTGCTCGGTGAGCTGTCACAGTGGTGACCGCACGCTCACTCCTGGTGCCAGCCTTAGGGCCTCCGCCTGTGGAGCCTCGGTACCGAAAGGCAGCTGCTGGTTCACCCGACCCCTGCTCTGCGCTGGGCAGACGTGCCTCACACCCAGTCCCTGGTCTCTGGAGGTCTCAGCCTAGCGGGGCAGCTGACGGTTCCCTCCTCTGTGCAACCAGTCTGGGATCGACTCCTTTGGTGCTGGGTGGCCGTGAGAGAGGAGCTGGAGATGAACCCGACACCGACCCAGGCCTCAGGGGTTAGTGGTTTATCCCTGGGCTAACCCCCAGCGCTCAGCCCACCTGCCCCAAGCAGGGTGGCTGCCATGGCCCAGCCTCCCGCCTTTGTCATGGCTCAGGAGGCCCCTCCCGAGCTCTCCTGGCCCCACCCCGGCTCCCCCAGGCCCTGGGCTTGCATCTGGGCATCCCCCAGTGACTGCTCACTCTCCAGGTGACCCCAGTGCCCAGCACCCAGTGCAGGACTGGCACGGCGAGGGGCCTGATTTCTGCTGAATCAGCAGATGAAAGAACAGGACTCTGGAGGCCCCATGAAGAATGAGGGGATGCGAGGTGACCGAGCCCCTGTCCCCTGCCGGGCCTGGTGGGGGACTGTGTCGGAGATGAACCCGACAGCACAGGGGACCATGAGTCTACCAGCAGCAGCCACAGTCACGGGTGCTGGAAGGTGACGTTGAGGTGGAGGTGGGCTGGACTGAAGGGCGAGAGGGAGGGAGGGAGCTCAGGCCTCGGAGACCGTCTGCAAATAGCACGACACACTGACCACAGGGCGCCTGCGGTGAGCCGCCTGCGGTGAGCCGCGGGTCCAGAGGCCCGAGTGCCACACTCAGCTCCCGACAAGCTGTGGGGCTTTGGTCAAAGGGTCTTCCACCTGCAGCTTGTCGACCGTGCAGGTTTCTGGCCCCGCCCCCAGAGGCTCTGAGCGGTGGGCCAGGTGTGGGCACAGCGACCTACAGAGACCCCATGAGCCCAGGGTCTGCCCTGCCCCTTGATGGCGTCACCCTGGTGGCGGGAGTAGCCCGAAGCCCCTGCCGAGATCTGTCAGACCTCAGTAGGGGCCAGTCCACCTGCCTTTCTGCCGCCAAGATC